GGGCACTTTTTTTCTTTGATGAAGCGATAGAATTTGCATTGGATTCCCTGGAAGCCCCGACGCTGCCGGCTAGGAAACTGTCGGTTGAAGCTTTCGCGTACTTCTTTCCACTCTTGGCAGAGGTCCACACGATGATACCAGATGAAGTACATTTCCTCTTCCTCGTACTTCGGTCGAGGAGGTCGGCGTCGCTCCGGGGCATTGCTGGAGCTGCTGGAAACCGAGTCATATCGCTCTCGCGAGTATGCGCCAGGAGATGACTCGGCCGATCGTGGTCGATAGGGCAGAAATGCTGCGTCCTGGGATGATGCAGAACTCTCTGCATAAGGGTGGTGTCCATCTGAGTAGGGGGAATAAAAGTATTGGTTGGGACTGGGAGGATATAGAGGCGACAGTTGTGGTCCTGGGTGACTGTAATGCATGCGGGAGCTTGTACTTTCTCTCTCTGATGATGGATTCAATAGAGAATCAATGGCCATGCGGCTTTGACGAGACGCCGGCATGTAGTTTGCCTGTGGCCGCTCGTGAAGGGTCTCCATGGTAGATGTGTAAAAACAGCGGTAATAATAACAATAGACGCGTTGATGGAGTGTTTTTTTTTCTCCTTGTGGAGAGAAGATGATGTTCCAGAGTAAAGGGTGGAGGAAGTAGTGCGGAGACAAAAATAGTTGTTCCAGTGAAGGGAAGAAACAACCACCAGGTATAGTTGACGAAGATGCAAGTAACAATGACTTCTCGCCCACACTGAATATGTTGGACTAACCAGAGGAGGCCAGCACCAAAGGGGGGTGGGTGGGGAGGAGTTTAAAAGAAATAAGAAATTTGGAAAATAGTAAGAGATTAAGGGAAAAGGAAGATAAAAAAGAAAAGAAAAAAAAAGAGAGAAAAAAAAACAAATCAGAAAATGTGACAGATGTTGGGTGTGTCTCTTTCAGCAAAGGCCAAAAGCGCTTCTACACAGTTGCACTACCTTACAACTGGTGTGTGCCTTGGTGAAAGAGAAAGGGAGAAGAGGAGAGGGAAAAAACGAAAAATCTTGGGAGAGACAGAGAGAGGAAGTGACGTGGATAGGGTAGAAGGAGGAATGAGAAGCTTTGTTGAACCGATTAATTTCCCAGGACAAGCCAGTCCTTAAAGCATCGCCAACGCCGCACGAGACTCCCGGTTGGACTCTTAGTGAGGGCAATGGTGGCCAAGGGTCCCTGTTAGTTCTTCTTAACCCATGCAGCGTACCAAACCTCTGGGACTGCCTGGCCTGTAATAGAGGCCGAAGTGACTGCGCCCCCTGTCCGGTCGTGGGGAGAGTCACTGCTACGGCGGGTACAGGACGGTGACCGGCGTGATGTGTAGCGCCTGCGCCAGCAGGGAACTGCGAGGGTAGTATATTGGTTGGAGAAGAGGAGAAAGCCTTGTAGGAGGGGAGGGCTGTTCGTCCACTGGTGGCAGTGGTGGTAGTAGTCTCGTTGTTGTTGCTGGGGTTTGTTTTCGCGTCTGTTCCTTCAACCCTAGTCCATCTGCAAGCATGTCCTCACTCGCTGTGGCCGTAAATAGTAAACCGGTATTTATTTCGGCCGGGGAATCCAGATGAACAACACAGATAGCAGTGAAAAGAATAAGATAGGAACCAAATTAGAAAGATTGAGAATCAGATAGCAGCACCAAGGCCTTATATGCAAGGATATATCGTTTGGAACCCCGTCAAGCACCAGAAGGATTCGCCACCTATTTCAACGCCAGATGGATCCTCAGCAGTCAGAACGATGAACTGCAGGAGAGGATGAGCGAAGATAAAAAGAAATCGACTGGATGAAAAGAATGGCATCCGATGGATTGGATGGTTCTACAAGTGGAGATCGCGACAGGGTCACGTTGGCAGACCGACGACGTGCAGGGCCAGACTGGACGCTTGAGGGAGGTTAGTTTAGAGAGGGTCACCGTTGGATCGGGTAATTAATCGGGCTCTGCTGTAATTTATGATCTGGTTCGGATTTCCTTATGATTTTCCTTAAATTTATTTTTCTTTCTTTCTTTTTTTTTTTTTTTTTTTTTTTTTTTTTTTTTTTTTTTTTTTTTTTTTTTTTTTTTTTTTTTTTTTTTTTTTATTTATTTTTTTTTTTTTTTTTTAAAAAAACTTCCATTTATTTTTATCTTTCTCCTCCCGATGGAATTATAAATTTTATTCAATTTCGAATCTGGATTTCATCTCCACTCTCTCCTACGTATTTTCCTTTACCCCTCAGAATTCGGGCTTGGCCAGTTCGTGCAATATGCAGATTAGATATCAGAAAAGTCAATGTGGGATGAGGCCGTATTGAAGAATCCACTCTCAAGCGAAAGCGTAAATAAAAAGTTATTGGGTCGAAGAAGGAAAAAAGTGACGGAAGGAAGGAAGGGCCAAGGGAACAGGAATCGATCCTGATAAAGCTGCCTAAAAAAAATCACCCCCAGATTAGGTTCTCGAAGAACAGAGACGAAGAACAAGGAGTAAGAGTAGGTTGTATAGTAACTGCTAATTTCAAATATCCAGTCAGTTGGGGACGATAGTAATATAATGAGAACGAATAACAAAAATAATCAAAACCAAAACTCATAATAATGATATGATAATGATCGCTTGGGGTCCGGGCCAAAATTGACAAGCTTAATGGGTCCGGGTCATTCAAATCGTCGACCCAGCTAACTTACACTAACTACTACGAAGTACATCGCACAAGTTATCATTGTACTTTACCTTAACCCTATTTAGCAGTTTGGCAACTGGCACGGATATGATGATGATGATGACGATGACACAATCCTCATGAGGGTAACTAGCCACCCAACAACGCCCATCCCCTGCCCTCTCTTCTCTCATCTTTTTCTCTGGGCGGAGGATTGGCCACGCGGGGAGTGAGGGGGAGCAGACCTTCGAAAAGAGCCATCTGCATGAGCGTCATGTACACAATCACTCAAATCCCTCCCACCACCCCCATGTCAATTCTCCTCATCGCCCCCAAGTCATTCTGCACTATCCCCATTCATTCACCCATTCTTTGCCCCAGTACCATGGGCTCGTTACTCTACTTTCTTCTGGCACATGCAGTTCTAGTTTCCAGCGCGCAGGTCTCGGTATGGCTGGGACACACCCTCACACCCACACACGCACCAGCCTATCAGCGTAATTACAAATCCCGGAAGGATGGCCGCGGACTCTAAGCAGAAATAATAATAATAATTCAGAGTAATAATAAACAATAGCCATACGATAATTAAAAAAAATAACCCTGAGCAATCAGAAAAATGAATACAAAAAAACGTTCTGGAAAAATGTGGTATGTATCAAAAGGCGAGAGAGCCAACCATTTAACTGAGTATGTATTAGTCTCCACGTTTGGGTAAGTATTCAACCTACTCGCCATTATTCAGGCTTGGCTTACTACAGATTGACTGACGGACTGACTGATCTTAGCCAACTTCGAATTGGTTACTACTTTTGTCAAAGATGTACATAGAGTGGGTGAGTGAGAGAGCGATCGAGTATGCTCTTTACCTAAAACTCTCTAGATAGATAATCACTTCTTGATCGATTGACTGACTGCTTGCTGAAGAATGTGTCAAAATGTTATGCGTAACAGAGTTACGCCAGCAAGGGCTTCTCGTATTTATATTCCCCACCATTTGCATTCCGCAGAGCTACTTTACTCACTAAACTAAACTTACTAGGGAAATGTTTATGCGGTCGTAATTCATGACTCGAATTTGCTTTCTCCTTGGTTCAAAATCCACCTGGAAATATTTGACGCACGATCTGCCCGCAGCGAGGAGCTTAAGAGACACATACCTTCCTTCCTTCCTTCCTTCCTCCTGTCTACTGAAAATGAATTACGAGGTAGAGAGATATTTAAAAGACTTGGTTTGATTGAAAGTGGACGCCATTCGTCAAAAAAATAATAATAATGTACGGGTTACTGAAAGAAGATCTCAAAATGAAAATAAATTACTCGAAAAAGTACGCCTTCATTCGGCCGTAATACATCACTTAATCAAATTACATACGTCGCCCACAACCTGCAGCCCTGCCATTGCGTGAGAGAGGCCAAGAGCGAAGGGGAATAATAATAATTCGGTTTCTCGGACCTGATAGGTCGTTCCAAGGCTGCAAGACGGGTCGACCGAAACGAAGCATTGCAGGGTTCATTTTTTTCAATTTCCAACCTTCAGATTGATTTTCGGCCGCTGGCGGGAAAACATCAGACGACACACAACCCATAGCTGGGGCCCGGAGCTAGTTTCGTTTTGTGTGCTGTGCTTGCTGTACTCCACAAGCAATCTTCATCTTGTACTTATCTACATTGGGATTGGGGATGGGGGTTGTGTGTGTGTGTGTGGAGCCGTGGGAGGCTAGTTAGCTAGGTTGGTTAGTTTAGCTTAGGTACTGTGTGTCCGCGGTGGGTGTCCACTGTTCGCTCCGAGCCTCTCTCTCTCTTACTCTTTCTGTCTGTGACCTCTTCTTTCGCCCATCCTAGTATAGATAGATAGATAGATAGTATCTAGACTAAATTAAATTACTACTATCTCTGGAGAGATGGGGACCGGGTTCGAGACCCATACGTACCAGCCAGCACCAGCCAGCGCGCACTCTCTGAAGATTGAATAACGATTCATTTGGAATGATTCCGGTTGTGTTCGGAGTACTTTACTAGTTTGGTTATTTTCTATCTATCTATCTATCATTCTATCTATCTGTCAGAAATGAATGATTAATTCGAATGGCTAGCCCAATCCAATCACTGGAGCGTGGTCGCTAACTACTTTTATTTTGTTTCTTTCTTTTTCTAACTCGGAGAAATGAATAATGATACAAAAAAGGGGGGGGTGTGGTGGTGAGTGGGTTATGGGAAAGAACGAACGAACGGGATTATACGGAGTCACGCAAGACTAAAAATGTGACTGACTTGACTGTCGGTGGGAAGATCTCTAGCAGGAAGAAGCAAGGCCAATCTTTTCTTTTATTACTTGTTCTTTTTTATTTAATTTATTATTTTTCGGGGACGCTAGTTGGCACATGGAACAATCCTTCATTCGATTCTACGCCTCACCTGGAAAAGGAAGAAAACAAAAAAGTAAAAAAATAGAGAAACTTGAGAAGAAGGAAAAAGAATAAGCAGAAGAGGGGGGGAAAAGAAAGAAAAGAAAAAAAAAAAAGGAAAAGAAAAGAAAAGAAAAAGGGAAGGGAAGGATCACTGCAGGATTCGTGCAAGACCATCATCCATCAGCAGGTGAGGATTTGGGGGAAAACGGAATTAGCAGTCAGTGAGTGAGAAGCAGAAGAAGGGGGGGGAAAGAGCAGAAGGGAGCCTGAGGGAGGGAAGGAGGGAGGGGGGAAAAAAGGAAGCCGGCGAAGCAAGCCAACAGAAAGGCCGTAATGGGCCGCGTCTATTGGGCGCGGAATAGAGTCAGCAACCCAACCTGCAGTGGCTTTGCTAGCGTACCGTTGTGTCGGGACGGGTTTACGAATAGGATCGAGGCTCTAACGCTGTCTGGCTCTTATGGTCTCAGATTGCGCAGGGCCATTGCTGAAGGACAGGCGACCTGACAGCCAAGCGGGAGACACGATGTGTGTGGGTCCGAGCCTTAGTACCGGGGGGAAAATGGGAGGGGTGGGAATTGGAATGGGAGAAATTTAAAAGATTATTTTATTTTGATATTAATAAGAAATAAGAAAAAAAAAAAAAAAAAAA